TTTCAGAGTGTGAGAAAATTTACATGGTAGCGGAGCTTGGGACAGCCCAAGCTTCGGTAAGGGGGTCTTCCTGCACTTTGCTTCGCGGGGTGCGTTCAGGGAGCCCAGGCTGTGAAAGAACTTTCCTGGACCTTTTGGGGATTTGCTTTCTTCGGTGAAGTCTAGGTAGCCTCGCAATCCCGGCGCCGACCGGACGAGCCATAGTTCACTGTTTGAGCAGAAGCCAGCGGGCTTGGAAGTCTCGCCGAATCGCCAGCAGAGGCGGAACGGCGACTTGTGAAGCAGTTGAACAGCTCAAGGAGCGTTTGCATAGCTTGTACGTCGAACAGTTGATTGAGCGTCCGAAGCCCGAAGGCCGTTCAGGTCAGTCTTGGGACCGCATCTTGAGCACGTACCGGGTTGCTTTTGAGCAGAGGCTAAGCGGACTTCATAGTGTGCAAGAGGTTTGGAATTTTGGTTGCAAGTGCCTTCAGAAGCAGCATCTGAAGGAAGTCTTCATTGCTTTCGGAGTTGAGGACATTGCAAACAACTGTATTTCAGACGAATTGCAGCAAGCTTCACTGCATCCAGATTGTGAGAGCGAAAGCTTTGAGAGAGATCTTCTTGCAGCAAACGCTGAGCTGCAAGAGCTGTTGACATCTGAGCCACCCGCGTCCGAGGTTGAGCCGACAAGACGTGTGTTTCAAGCTGTGTTACGCCAAAGTGATACTGTGATTGATCTTGATTGAACTCGTGTAATTTCTTGATCAAGCAGAGAAGGAATGGATCCGCAGTCCCAAGGGGCTGCGGGGAGTGCGGAGCCGCCTGTTGCGGCGAACCCGTTCTCGCCTACACATGGAGGCCAGGGCCAGGCACCTCAGACACAAGTGTTTGACATGACTCAGATGCAATTGCTTATGGCGCAAATGGTTGAGACGGCGCAAGCTGCGTCGCAAGCTGCTCAGGCTGCAGTTGCAAGGCCAGTGAACACCACAGCTGGATTTGCTGATGCGAATAAGATTTTGAATCGACCGAATGAGTTTGGGTCCTCGAGCCACGATCAGGACCTTGCAGGCTGGGCCGAGTGGAGTCACTCGTTCCGTACATGGCTTGTGTTTGCCGAGAGTGATTTTGAGGTTGATTTGAGGTTAGTGGAAGAGCATTTGGACGGGCCGGTTGACCTGACTATGGCCACCCCTGCTCGCATTGCAAGATCGCAGAGGCTGTATGCCATTTTGGCAAGCCTCCTTCGTGCAAAGCCGAAGGCCATCCTTCGCCAGATCACTGACAGAAACGGCCTGGAGGTGTGGCGCGTGCTGACCAACACGTATGCGCCGAAAACGAAATTTCGTGGTTTAGCCCTCCTCAACGCGTTGATGGCTCTCCCCACTTTCACCAAAGATCGTAGCCTGCGTGAGCAAATCCATGGACTTGAGAGAGTCGCAGATGAGTATCAGAGAGTGACAGGGAGACAGCCAGGCGAAGATGTTCTCCTCGGCACGCTGGTTCGCTGTTTGCCGAATGCCATAAAGCAGCATGTCCAGTTGCAGATGACCGAAGCCAGCACGTATCAGAGTGTCAGAGACTACGTGTTGGGGTACGAGGTGACGACAACGTCATGGACTTCGGCCAAGATGCATCAGGCCTTAGGCGTCGTGCCCATGCCGTCGTCCTCGGATCAGGGCCCGATTCCGATGGAAGTGGATGCACTTCAACGAAAAGGGCCCAAAGGCGGCAAAGGAGGCAAAGGCGGCAAAAGCGGCAAGGCGGCAAATGGAAAACCAGGCAAAGGCGACAAAGGCGGCAAAGGGGGCAAAAGCGGCAAGCCAGCAGATGGAAAACCAAGCAAAGGCGACAAAGGGGGCAAAGGGGGCAAAAGCGGCAAGCCCAAGGCTGCAGACAAGCGCGACATCCAGTGTTATATCTGTGGGAAGAAAGGCCACTATCAGTCTGAGTGTTGGCATAATGCCAAGGGTCGCAAAGGTGTCCAGCAGGTTCAAGGCAGTGATGCCGCTAGCACCGTTGCTCCAAGCACTGTTGGTCCTTCTGTGTCGCAAGCTGCAGGCCCCAGCAATGCAGCTCCAAACAATGCCAGGAATGTGAATCGTGTTGAGCTTGGCCCCGTCGAGATTGACATGACAGGCGACGATGTGCAAGTGTATGTCGCTGACAGCCCGTATGCTGTTCGAGCAGTCACCAGCGCAGGCACAGGTGAGCCAAGGTGCACGGGAGGCCATGAAGCCCAGGGTTTGATGAGTTTTGGTGATCTTGTCAAGGTTTTAGCCCTGAACCCGCATGGATGCCCTAAGCTTCCCAACCTGCAGCCTGTGGTCCAGCCCGTGCCAAAGCATGCGGCCGACATCGCTTGTGTATGCCATGACATGTCACAGACAGATGATGATGATGATGCATGGACTGTGTGCGAAAGTGTTGCTCTTGACCTGAGGGACCCTGCCACTCGAGAGCAGTTGCCGTGTGACGGGAGTTGTCCGGGTGTTGCCGAGTCGATAGAGGCTCTTAGCCCAGCGGATCTACCAGATGATCACGATTGGGCCATGCATCCTCCTAAGTGTCTGCTCGCTGTGCAGCAGGGAACGCGCCAGGAGCACGAAGCCGTTGACATCGAGGTCGTGGTGGACTCAGGATCCGATGCATCATGTCTGCCGATGTCTTGGGCTAGCATAGGACGGTCTGGAGGTGCTGACAGCCAGTGGTACAGAGACGCTCAGGGTCACCGCATTTCCGGTCGAGAGACCAGGACGGCAACAATCGAGATTGGAGGTGTGAAGTTTCGTGAGCAGTGGCTGCTGTCATCAGTCACACAGCCCCTATTCTGCGTAGGCAAGCTCATGCGCAAGAATGGATGGGACATCATCCACGATCAGGGCAAGGTTCCACACCTCACGAGCCCCGACGGCTCAGTGCGTGTTCCGTTGTTTTACAAGAACTACAGTTTGCATGCCAAAGGCTTCATCCGAGGTGTGTTTGGGCAGGAGAGCGCATCCGAGCCAGCAGTGCGAGCACTTGAGGTGACAGATTTTTGGTTGAGTCTTGATGACCAATTTCATGAAGTTGCCCCTCTTGTGTATGCAAGGCGTGATTACTCTGATTGTTTTCTTGATTGCTGCACTCCCCTCGCGCATCTCGGTGTGAAGTACCGAACCACAATCCGCCAGGACAGCTCAGGCTGGGATGCTGTTGAGTTCAACCAAGATGTGAGTTTGCTTGAGCAGCCTGAAGCTGAGTTCGAGCCCCGGCGGATCTACCATATGATCACGATTGGGTCACGCAACAAGGTTGATCTTGATGTGCTTTTCAATCGCAAGCCCAGTGCAACCTTTCCAGCAACGGATGATGCTGATGCTGAGATGCGCGATGATGGGTTGCCAGAACTGCCTCAGGAGTGTGACAGTGACTCTTTTGATCAAGATGAAGTTCTAGAGGCCATAGATAAAATTGTAGATGATGAGGCAGCTGCAGCCGCAGCCAAGCAACAAAGCAAGCAAGGCCACATCGTCGTTGATGGCGTTGAACTTCATGAAGGCTGCAACTTGAAAACAATCAGGGCTGCATGTGAGGCCTTGAAGATTGGCAAAAGCGGTGGCAAAGCAACCTTGCTTGCCAGAATTGCCGATCATCTTGACAAGCAGCGTTTGCTTGAGCACCATCAAGTTGAGTACGATCCTATTGCCAGTAGGCTGCAGCCGAGAGAGCAAGCCCCAGTTGCTACTCCTACGCCCGAGCAAGTTAGACTGCATTCCTTGACTCACATTCCGTTTCAACCCTGGTGTGAGCATTGCATCAAGTTCCAGGCGCGGTCCGACAAGCATACAAAGGCGAGGCCCGAGACTAGAGAATGCAGCGTGTGTGCATTCGACTACTGTTTTACTGAGAGACCCTCCGGGGATAAGGGCCAAAAGCTTATATGCCTAGTTGCAAAGGACAGCCACACGGGAGCCACAGTTGCAATTCCTACACCTGCCAAGGGCGGATCGATTGCATTCCGATTTTTGGTTGCAGAACTTTGCAAGTTCATTAGTTTTTGTGGCCATTCCGAGGTTGCATTGCGGTCGGACGGCGAGGCCACCTGTCGTGCCCTCGCTCAGGGTGTGAAAGACCTGAGGACCAAGCTGAAACTTGTTACTCACCTTGAGCAAACTGAGAAGGAAGATCATCAGGGTAACCCTGCTGAGCAAACTGTGGATCAGCTCAGACAGCTGACAGGAACCCTGTTGTCGCAAGTTGAGGAAGCGACAGGCCAGCAAGTTGCGACCGGATCGCCTCTTCATGCTTGGTGTTGGAGGCATGCATCGTGGCTGCAGACCCGCTATTCGCGCACAGGTTCGGCCAGCCCTTTTGAAGTCATCACAGGCAGACCGTATGCCGGGAAAATCGTAAATTTTTCTGAGGTTGTGTATGCTAGAGTTATGCTAGAGTTAAGTCAACCCTTAAGGGCAAGGCCAGATGGATCAAAATGATGTGGTTAGGCAAATTGTCGGTGTCAGATTTGCACTTCGGGGTTACAAAAGGAGGTTTCTTGATTTCCAGTAGGAGTGTGCGCAGATTGCCTGATCAGTATGATGCGGCATTTCTTGAAATTCTTCGAGATCAACCCTGGACACAGGCGAGTTTTCTTGCAGGGCAGAGCGGCCAGACAAGGTTGCAAAAGACGCTTGAAGATGCACCTGAACAGGCAGCCGACCATGCTGCAGTGCCAGAGGTTGTTGTGAATGATGGACCACAGCCCATGCCGTACCCCGGGCACATCGTGCCTGATGATACGCCGTTGGTGGAACTGTTGCCACCACCGCCGTTGTTGCGCACACCTGAACCTCCGACGCCTTCGAATCCAAGTGCTGTCACACCTGCACACATGTTGCCAAGTTTCTCGCCACTTCCTGCAGGCGAGGGAACATCACCATTGCCGATGATCGTCGAGTCAGGCGAAGGGCCTGGCGGGGATGCACCGCCACAGGCCAGCACAGGCACCGTGAGGCCAACAGCTGAGGTCACAGAGCATGTTCCCCCGGCCAGA